CTTCCAAAAATTTCTAAAAAAATCAATAAAGCAAAGAATAGAACTATCAGCAATCGGCGTTCCTTCCAAAAAAAAAAAAAAAAAAAAAAAAAAAAAAAAAAAAAAGGCAACACGGAAATAAGTGCTTTTTCATCCGCACAAAAGAATAGATGGGCATATCACTTCTCATCTTCATTTCTCCACGCACCACAATTTTTTTTTTGCTTTTACAAGCTCTTGCCTTTTATCCCTTAATAGGTGCAAAAAAGTTATTAAAATTTGCTTTTACTCTTATGCACAAAAAACAAAACAAAACAAAAAAAAAAAAAAAAGACGACAAAACAAAAAAAAAAAACAAAAAACAAACAATAACAACAACAACAACAAAAAAGAAAAAAAAAAAAGTACGAAAACAAAATAAAACGAGATGATATATATAATTAGAAATCAACAACAGTAAAAAAAAACGTTATTTCTTCTTTTTTTTATTTTGGAGGGGAAAAAAGGCTGCGCTAGAACTGCATCGTCGCAGGACATAAACAACCTCAAAAATCTGATATTTCAAGCTACCTGTTTTAAAAAGCCTTTCCATGCATATTATTCTTCTTCCTAAAGCAACTCAATACACAATTTTCGACACTAATTAAGCTTTTTTGTTTGTTCCTTTTAAAGCTCTAAATGGAATATTTTTACAGGAGCATTGGATACCCATGGTTCGAAAAAAAAAGGAGCCGTTGAGGGTCATTTGTCGGGGGAACAAAAACGCGGGGTGTCAACGTCGACTCAGGGGCACTTAACGGAGCGGTAATAAACGGAAAATAATTTTCTCTTTGTTGGTATGCCACGATGAATGGAAGAACAGGAGCTTGGGATATGAACTGAGCTGATGTATCACAAATTACTGGACTCACAGCCGTGGAATCCACAAAAACAGGAGAAGCAAGCTTCCCAGAAGCCGGTACTGGTGGTGCGCACGCCAAAGTGGAGTTAGGAGCCGTATTCCTCGGGCGAAGAATAATGGATTTCCTCCTTTCAGCATCCACGTCCTCAATCATCTTAGCCACAGCAAAAGGATGCGGCAAATAAGGAAATGGAAAAGGTGCTTTTCCATCAATGCCTTCCACGCATCGGCATGCGTCAGAAATATGCACAAAATGCACAAACACCATGTTATAGGGTGACGGTCCCCCAAGCAAACACGATTGCGGGTGCAAAGACACATTTGTCACGGGCCCAAAATTCATTTCACAATAAGATTGAACTGTTTTCAGTGTAATATTTCCAGGAACATTACGTATGTAAACAATGTTTGTGATTACGTGGGCATTCACACATGAATCCAAAGTACTTCGCTCAGAAAGCCTTACTTGAAGCACGTTCCCATCCAAAACGACACGATTCATCATTTCACAGACCTTTTTCGCAACGTCGACGCTCTCAAACATAATAAATGCAACACCGCGTGACATGCCCGTTGCGATGTCCAGAAGAAGCTTGACATGAAGAACCTTTCCAGTAGGTGAAAAAAAATTCTTTAACTTCACACTATCTACAGAGGGCGGTATGTTAGCTACATAGACACTGCAGCAGCCAGACATTGTGTTCGAACTGTTTTCCCTTGAAGACTCCATCTGCAACCACTTAAAGGCTGCAATACAACCACAACAAGAAGAAAACAAAAGTTAAAAGGAAATAACTCAAGAAAAAAAAAAAAAAAAAAGAACTCTTGTTTGTGCGGAAGTAATTCTTGAAGTAATAAATAAATAAAATAAAATAAAGTAAAATAAAATAAATAAATAAACAAAACAACGCTACTCAAAGATTTTTTTTTTCAACACCTTGGTCTTGCGCCCCACAATTACCAAAAAAAAAAAAAAAAAAAAAAAAAAAAAAGGGAAAGAAAAAAAACATCTTCAATATTTTCAGAAACAGACACTTTACCGTCTCCCAAGCGATACTTGTCAAAGTGTTCAAACCGCGACGGATCAAACAGACTTCTGTCCACATACTTTGTCACGCGTTCGGTGGTTTCTCAAACAACTTGTAAGTCAAAAACAACGGAATTCAAAAGCACACAAATATGAAGTTTATTCTTCACACGAGTACCACCATCAGCCTCGCCTGAAGCCTCGTCATTTTCCCTCGCTAGTGGAATCTTGGCCTGCATAGGCAATAATGTCTCCTTCACTTGTAAATAATTCTCTTCTTTGATCCTTTTCTAGTCCTCTTTTCCTCACTGAAAATCCGACCGTTGGACTAAAAAGATTAAGATAAAAAAGAAATCCTTTACCCATGCGTTCTTTTCACAGCTGAAATAAAATATTTAAATATTATTATTATTTGAATGCGTGGTCACAAAATCCATTACAATTTTCATGTGAATTTACCCAAAACAAATCTGTAGGCCTTTTTTTCGTTACCCGGCAAATAGCTTTGCTTTGCTGCACTCCTAGCAAGAAGCCGTGGAATATAAAGCAAAAAACGCATCAGGATGTAGTAAACTATTCTCTTGACGGTTTTTGCAAAGGACCTTCTTGAAAGGATTCGGAGAAAATTACCCGCATACCGTTGTACAAAATGGGATTCCTTCTTTTCTATATTTCTCTCTTTTTTTTTTTTTTTGTTATTCACGATAGCACAGCAAATACACCATATGACACAAACAGAACTCCAAAGTTAAAAAAAAGCTCGGTTTTTCACCATTAAAAAAGGCACTAGAAATACCAATAAATTTTTTCCCAATTAAATATAAAAAACATAATAATAATATTAATATTGAGCCATAAAATGGAAAGTAAACAAATAAACCCACACATCAAAATTGGCGTCAGTGTCACGTGTTCAAAGCATGTTTAGCAACTGTGTGACCATTTTAAAAGGCGCAATCTAACAAAGTCAAAAAGAAAACTAAATTAGACACTCTGTGCATCACAACAAAAAAATCCCTTTTTTTTTTTTTTTTTTTATCCAAAAAGAAAAAAGATAAAAAGGAACATGCAATATATACACAGTTTAAAAATAACACAGGCGAATTCCTGCGAGTATTTCAATCCAAATACATAAAAACTATTCAGACAAATAAATCCTCACAATTTAGTAAATTGCAGAATACTCACCTGGGCAGCTGGCCGTATCCTGAAGTTATCAATAATATAAATCAAAAAAGATATGAATAAGAAAGAAATAAATGGAATAAGAGTGGATTCACCAAATTTTCAATAAATGTTTGCACCAAGTAAGTGTATATTTATATATGCATACTATAGTAGACACTATCGTGACGTAATCACTCTTTCGGGATTGAATGTATAGAACTTACGAGGTGGCGGATTTCGGGCATTTACAGCCACACGACCACGCCGCAGGGTGAGGATCACAAAGTGGGCGGGCGGGACGGCAAAAGCAAACACAATTAAAAATTGTCCGGACATCACTGGTTCCCTGCTTCCCAGAACCGCGGTTAATCGAAGATTCATAAAATAGGGAAAAAATTCGTACAGAGTTCGCTTTATCAGGATACATATTAAACTGGATAACCAGCTTGTCGAGTGGAAATTCTCTTCACAATTTCAGTTAAAAAAGAAAAAAAGAAAAACTAGGAAAACTGAAAAATAAGACTAAAGTCATCTTTAAAATGCTCTTTGATATATCTATGCATGCCCTGCATTCACACATGTGAGGCAAGAAAATATATATAATTGTTAAAAACAGATAATGTCCCAAAAAACAAATGCAATAACATAAACTAGGAAATTGTACGCAATTAGACACGGTGGCATGGAGAAAATACTAAAAACCTAACAGGGAGAGAGAATTGATAGCAACTCAGACACGATTCCCTCCCGTTACAAAAGTTAAAGCAAAATATTAGTTGGCAGATAGGATAAGGAAGTTAATCCTTCAGTAACGGCATTATTAATATCAATAATAATATTAAAGAAACCCGGCTGAAAATAAACAGAATAAATAATATATATCAACAAAACTTTAATGACACAAAACATTCACCGTTTTTAATGAATAGCCAATAAATAAAATAAATAAATAAATAAATAAAAAACAAAAAATAAAATAAAATAAAATAAAATAAAATAAAAGAAATAAAAACAATATATATATATATATATAATAATAATAAAGTAATTCCCCCCCTTCAAAAACCCCCTTGCAGAATCTATCAGTTATTTCATTATTTTAAAAATCACCAAAGCTAGCTCAGAGCACATACACCCCGCTAAAACGTCTTGAAAAACACCGTAAATACTTGAATAGCAAATAATATATAAATCAAAACATATTTTTCTGAGTCATTACCAGTCAAACGAATAAAAAACGCATAGTGGAAGATCACATAAAATGAAACATGAAAAAAAAT